GCAAATTATATACATATTTTTATCGCAGCCACTATACTCTAATTATCGTCATATCTGTTTATGTTTACACGCTCGCGTGACTACTTACTATATTTAATTGTGATGTTATCAACACGCTTTTTTCTTATGGTGACTGTATTTCATATGTGTTGTCAATACCTCATAGAGAAGCGGCTGAGTATTGTAGGAACACCAGTATCAGTACGATCTAAGAAGTGTCATGGTGGTTGGCGCTGGTCCACGAAGGTGTCCTTGCTCCGTGGTGCAATGCGGGCGCCATTGCCTTGGCCAAGTTGGCTGATATCATTAATTACACCACCACAGCCACGCTGGGTGGATAAATCGCTAGTCTATTTATAGGCGGCACGCGACATCTTAATGCGACCTAAAATAATACCTATTGACTATTTGGTATTCTCCCACTGCTAGTTAAATTATGTAGCCAATGAATATCGCCAACAGGTTACAGCAATCTCTACTTACTTTTTTAAATTAATAGCTCAAGGCAAACGGCATTAAAGTTAATGATTTCCACGTGTTGCATTCAGTTCAAAGTTCTCTTGTGAAGAAAAACTATAACTTTAAATAATTTCGTCGTAACATATTCGTTCGTGACTTACTATGTTGTTATATGTAACTACTTACCAATATACATATAAAAAGTAATGAAAATGTTCGTTGCAAGAAAACTTTGCATGTTATTATGTTATAATTTTAAGTGCAAACAAATATAATCTACTTCGGTGCTAACATACTAATATAATGCTAGTATATCGTGTACAACTCCTACAATAATCATTATAATTTTACTGAGTAAATAACATCAATACACCTAGAGTGAGATTGGCTGTCTGTCTGTCTGCCCACCGCCATGTGGGTTGTTTTTTGTAGAAAGCGGTTCACTTGTCGCTGAGAGCTAAAGCACAAATAACTGGGACAAGCTCTTAAGACGAAATAGAAAAGTACTAGAACCTTAATGATGGACCCCAACGTAGCTTGTTATACTAAACTCAAGGAGAGCACGAAAAAAATATATTATTTTGTAAAGTGGAAGCCCAATTAATGTAAATAGTCTCAAAAGCAAATAACAAGTAAAAAAGAAAGAACAACAAACAGAAAATTGTGTAAAGAACAAAAGACAGTTAATGAAAACAAAATGTCGGCGGTGACGTGTTATCGTAAACAATGGAGCCGGTTTATAAATAAACTTTGCTCTATTATTGAACGAATTCACAGTCGATGGCCAGATGCGATTCGCGAGAGCAATCGAGAGCGTCTTGCAGTTTGGTAAAGAAGAGCATAAAGTACTGGACACAGAACAAACATCCATATTCTTCTGTAGATTTTCATGCCATGCTTACCATCAAAGTGAAGTCCATACAGTTCAACAGTTATTGTGTCGGAGTTCCCTGACTTAATCTCTTAATCGGTTAAAGGCCATCGATTAATAACCACAGCAACATAATAATATGTAACTTGTGTTCACCTATTTACGTCAAACAATAATCAATACTAAGTAGTCAAGTGTAAATAAATACATGTTGTATGTTAGCACCGGCACCGGTTGTGAAAACAGAAAGTCATTCAACCCGTGTCAGTCAGATGGCGGTTCTTATCTGGGTGAGGAATTCCACACCCGCGTGCGAAACGCCAAGCCGCCGCATAAAACATTATTAATTCTCCAAACTCAGCGTTTAATTATAGATATCACACGACTGTCGACTTTACACAGTAAACGGGCTAACCATTCCCTATTTAAAAATCTAGCGTCACACTTAATTTGTGCAGGAATTCAGTCTAGTAATTAAATCAGCAGATGTTTGACATTGCGAAATAAACTACATATATTATTTAAGAAACACGATAGTACGAAAGAAGTGCTAAATGTCAAAGTCATCGTTATCTGTATCTTACGCAATGCATAGAGCATCGAGTTGGCCAAAATTAAGCGTAATAGGGAAATCTATTCGCATTGGAAAGCCGACCATTTGATTGCGCTCCGTATCCCAATCACAGCTGCATTGGTTTCCAGCGGGAGAAGAGATTGGCTGGTAGAGCGCAGTCAATTGTTCAGCGAGAGGACGGGGGCCGCCTCGCGCCTGGTGGCCGCGCGCCGGACGCCTCCGCATTCCACCTCTCCCCTACTCCCGATAACTGCTCACTTCCCACACAGGGCTGCCGGGATGCAGCTAATCTTGCCTTCAAGTCTACGCTATGAAATTGCATAAAATGTCAAATGTCAAACGTTGGACGAGAATTCATTTTATTTTCAATCTAATTATTCCTAACATTTATATTTTTGGCTTTAGTTAAACATTTCGTTCGTAATAGGCAACCCTAGAGCAGCTGGTATATGTTCAGTTGTAGTTGTACCTAATTGTGACCTACATACGTACGTAATTATATGCTGTGTTGGGGGAGGCGAGCGTAATCACAGGCACTGATAGATTCGAGAGCATTTCCTGATTACGATTTATACCTAACCTTCTATTCTGTATCATGACATGCAAGAGATGAAAATAAAGTTTTTTACCACCATATAAGCTAAGGAGAAAGTTATTTATATATTATTAAGTTTCCATACGAGTATAAAAAACATATTTGTCATATAATTCATTGAAACGATAATGATTTGACAGAAATGACAGGCACGAAAACGTCCCCGATATAGCATGGTAACAAGTACTCGTATCGGAAGCGAGCACGGTCACATTTATCTGTCTCCACTCGGAAACTCATTGATACGGCTGTGGATGTCGCAATGTAAAGAAGTATAGCGCAGATTATACGCTATTTTAGCTTTGATCGGGAGCTCCACTGACCAAATTTGATACAACTTCAATGTTTAGTAGTACGGTTATGAAAAAAACATATTAAATAGTGGTCACAAACATTATACAGAGTGAAAGGTATAGATGCGAAAATTCAGCAGTGTTTCTGCTTCAGAAATAGAAGGCTTATAACTTCGATAATATAGCGATGACCGCTACTCAAATTGGGTGGTGAGAGATTTGACAAATTAAAAAATCCCGGAACAACTTATTAGGTGCCAAACGTTTGGCTACTTTTCATTACTCTACTCTACTCTTCGATCAAATATTCTGAAGAATATACGATCGAAGACTCTACTACTTACTACTCGGTCTGCAGGTCTTGAATACTTCGATATCCAACGAAATTTTTGCAATTTATTACGAGTATAATACAATTACTCTGTCAATAAAGTGAAAAAAAAACTCACAATTTTCATTACTTTTAACAAGCATACAATTGAAGTGAATGGTAAAATAAATGAGTTGCCAACATTTTCCAACTATCATCAATTTCAATTTGGTAGAACACCATACAATTATTGTTAGTGCCGTGTACACGAACATGGAGTATTTGCCATGAGTGGGCGTGTTACATCGTCACGGTACTATCGGCACAGTAATTTAGGCAAGGTAGACCTCGCGGTAACTGGGCGTTGTAGGTGCGAAGCGATTGATTGATGGCCACAGTCACTTATGTCACTGCAAGGATCCAATAGAATACCAGTTCCAGATATAACAACCTGATACAGTATTCCCATTTGGTGGTATACTGGACCCTAAACTTTTCTTTGTCTTTTCTTTGTTCGTTTTACGAACTTGTTATGTTAAATATAAATACTTTCTATGTTAAATATCGCGATATATTCATTCAATGATTGTTTCTTGTTTCACTTACTGTTGTTACCTTTAATTTACCTATCTATCAATGTCCAGTGACGAGACACTTTGCATTAATTGCATAATAGAATTCATAGTTCTACTTGTCATAGTTTTCTGAGATAGACGTATACTAATATTCCATTAACAGCTTCCAAAAACTTCTAGATGTATTCAGCCTGCTCCGGACAGCAGAGACACTTTTGTCAGTTATGTCATCTGGAGTAAATAGAATTTAAGAGTTGCGCAAAAGTTGCCAGAGCTGCGAGGACCTCATACTTAAAAAGTTTGTAATACAACGATCAGCTAAAAATTTCTCAAACTTCGTGTACATTTTTAAGAGGAAGAAGTTACCATCTGTCTCTGTCTGCAAAACAAAGATGTCGGTTTATAAACGTGAAGTGGCTTTATGGTCCATTCAAAATAAGGTCATTGAAATCGTGTAAGGTAAACAGGGTCTTTTATGGTAACTGTTGTATCTTTGAACTTGACTTCTATTGATTACGTCGGAAACGTATCTATCGATTTAATATGCGTAGTCGGACCACAAAAGTACCAAATATAACGTGGTCATATATTTCAGCAAACTAGACAAGTACATCTTACGCAATCACGTGTGTTACTGTATAACCAACGAAAAAACGTTTTATCATCCAAAAACAGTAAATACGGAAATACACGGCTGAATGAAACAGTAAGTTTGACGTTATGTAAAGAAGGATAGCGTTGTGCAAGAGAGGCTTGGTCCGGTGCACTGAATACGGCTGTGCCCCGTCCAACTGGATTAACCAAACCTGATTTATGAGCTGGACTTCTGTCCGTCACTTGCGAAACAGAATGGAGCAAACCGAACAAATGCGCGGCCCGCCATTATTGTGCACCGTTTGGTAATATATCGCAATTATTAAGTAATAACGACCGCCAAAGAATTACTTAATCGAGCACGATAAACAAAACGCAAAGATTAAATCAGGCGGGCTATACAAGCTTTGTACAAGTGGAATGCTGTCTAGGTACACATCATTTAAAAATACGGTTTTTGTTGAGGAAGGAAACTTAAGTTTTATGTGAAAATGTCAATGGTTACTTTTGTGTTCTAGATCTCAAATAATTACATGCATTAACCTGTGTATTGAGATAAAATTTTCAGTTTATTATCATCCCGAGTCCATATCTTGGTAAGTTTCAACATTTATTATGGAAGTTTTTACATCGAGCTATGTATAATATGTGGGTTCGAAGCAATTTAGTTTTCCTACATAGATTTTAGCGTGAACAATAAAAACTTTAATTGTTACATATTTTGCTGACCTGCTCGAGTGTTCCTGAAAGTTACCGCCGTCGAGAAGGCGGACTTTGGCGAACAGCACCGCAGACACGAAAGGCACCTCAGTCAGCTCCTCCAGACAACATTGCACCCCAAACTTGTACCGTTTCTTTTTCGTCATGAAGGCCATGACGCCGCCAACATCGGGCCCTGCTTCACCGGCCCGGACACTTACACCGAGCTGCAGCTGGAGTGTCCCAGCTCTGTCACAACACTAGCACTGGCACTTCACTTCACATGTGTGTTACACAACGCACGTGTAAATGATATTATGTTTAAACTGCAATTTGTAAAACTTTAAAAACACCTATCTAAGTGGAGAGGTAAATCGGAGTGATTAGTTTGGCATCAGAGTCGCGTCCTCCGTGTGTCGATAGCGTGTGGCGGCCGGCGATCAGTCGCATAGTGGCCGACGTCATTAGTCTGGAATAGAAAATTGATGGTTCAGCACATTAAGATAACAGCACGAAGGTGGGGTAAAGACTATGTCTACATTCTAAATTTGTATAATAACTGATTATTTCATGTTACGAAATACATAATACGTTTCCTTGACACAAAACATGTAGTTTATGACTACTTGAGCTCATCGCCTAGTTTTCCCGAGTTGAGAAGTATTTAGGTTGTAGTGGTACTAAACAGAGCCATGTGTTGCTACAGTGCCACCCATTGGAACATCTATGTATCGTACGATTACACCAATATTCCGTTTCGAATAACATTAGGCATCCATGTGATTAGGCCATCTGTTGTCTTTATGAGCTGTGCTGTGGCTCGATGTTACTGGCCACAGTATCGTAACATAATGATATCCAATACATGTGAAGAAATATTAATGCAATGAAAACTAATAAATATTATAATACACCTTGCGAAAGTACTTTACAAGATTTAAGTTATTTACATGACACCAAGGCTAAGCAGGGAAATTGAAAATGTCAGGGATTTGGTTATCACACATTTTAAAGTTGCGCAATTGTATTATTATTAATAGAGTCGTCGACTGCTTATCATTTTGATAAGAAATAAAGCATTTGATGTTACTTCTATTGTTTTTTCATGACGAGTAAATCGCCTAATCACTACTAAACAAGAACGTAATTTTGATAGATCACATGTTTCACGTAACTATTCTGTTTGACACACACTTATTTGTGTAGGTGAGAGTATTTATGCATAGTCAGAAGATCACTCGACTCACTGCGAAACAACGAGCCAGTGTTTGTTTACCAATTTAAAGCTTTATTGAAACCATAAAAACGCGAGCATGGATAATGTGAACATCAGGATTAGCGCACTATAAGAAACCAGATAAGTGCACTCATTTACTTTACAATGTTCGCGGTTTTAAACATATGACAACATCATATTGACGATAAAAGCTCTGTAAATACATACTGTTATTAGAGTGTTGATGCTTCAGAGGTTGAACAAAAATCGAGTGTCGTGAGTCATATTGGTTGACATTACGCGTAGGTCTGTCCGAGCTGCGCACATTTACGTACGAGTTTATATAGATAGCGATGCGGTGCACGTCCGCGCTGCAGCGCTGTTCTCGCGTGACTGCCGAAGGTTGCCAAGTGGCAAGGACGCTTGCTTTGCAAATTCATACAATTTCGACTGCGCGCAACAACTAAATACATTTTAATTACTACGTAATCTGTCTGATTGTCCTTGAGAAGATAACTAGGCTTAGAGATTGAACTAGCGTGTGATAAGCATATCGTTGGAGACGAAACAGTGAGTGAAGTTATCAATTGTAATGTTTTGTTAGTGACGTCTATTGTGGAACTGTCTGATAATGTATTGCGTGAGAACAATATGCAAAACAATCCTGTTTAGAGTATTTTGAAGGAAAGTTGTCGCTCATAAGGTTTGAAGTGATTCTTGGGATTAGTAGATGGTAGAAGATGCCATATCCATCCAAGCGGCCGCAGGATCATTACATTATATACAACAAATTTTAATAACGGTCTGCGTACTACGAGTACCTACAAATTAGCTTACTAAACGTAAAGTTAATATAATAAAAAAAATAAGTGTAATTTATATAGCCATCTAAAAGTATTAATTTCCAAATTGTAACAATAAGAACTATGAAAGAGCTTCGGACATTGCGAGTTATTCAGAGTAATGGCTCTCCTTGAGTACGGTATGCAAGATCTCTCAATTTCAATCTGTTCAAATAACTGGTTCAATCAGAACTGACGGGCTCTGGTTTATGGCTTCCGTCGAACCTTTCAGAAAACCTCGGCGAGGATGTAGCTAATAATGTTAATGCGTGCTCTAAGCACACACGGTACAATCTTATATAATTGCAAAATTTATTATTGATCAGGCGATCGAGCCGACCTTCGTGAGGCGCGAGGGGATGCGCGTGCGCAATTGACCCGGGTCACAGGTTGAAGGTGTACCTACCATCAGATTCGCACCCACACATCCAACAATTAAAGAAGTCGTCACCTCTTATATCAGTGCTATTTTTAGGCATCATTCAATTAAATGCAATCAAATCTCCATTCCGAGAATTACTTTTTGCTGTTAGCAGTGGTTCCGAACGTATTTTTCCTGTTTTAAGTAGATCCAATTACGCAGAGTTCTGAGGCAAGCCTGATCTTAATGTTTTTTAATTTTTATCCGACCTCTATATTACTTGTTCCTACTCTCAAACCAATAAAAGGTTCATTTTTTAAGTATTTGAAATAAGTATAAATGTGACTATTGGCGCTTTCGGCCGGGCCTCACATGAATCTGAAGTGAACAACTCGATATCTTTCGTCTGCCGTTTGCTGTCCTATCCGATAAAAATGTTTATCTCGTTTTTGTGTTATGATTTAATGTGACAGTAATTTTTAGTTCATTTTCACGTTACAGGGATAATAGTTGGTAGCTCAGTTTCGCAAAACAGACGTATGCCATGTACGCAAACCGGTGCCAAAGTAAGGGCCTATTAAAGGTTAACTCAGTAAAAGCATTCATAAAACAGCTGGTACGGTGTAGGCACGTAGTTATCGACGGCGGCCTGGCAGTGCGCCAACACGTAAGCCTGAGCCGTCACCTTGACGGTCCCGTGCTGCGCCCCTAGGGCCTCTACACCTATAAACATACCGGAAATAGACATGTATCAGCCACTGTCTACAACAATTCCCTATACTTATTTGAATTACATGTGCTTATGCATATCGGTTGGGTCCAAAGCAAGATTCTTAATATTATTTATGTAGCAACTACCAAAATACAATAGCAACAGACAATCAGTAACGTAACAATAGCAGACTATTTCTGATATGTGCAAAGGGGTCACATTATCAGCATCAGTACTGTGTCCATGTTATTATGTTCGTATGTAAAGTATGTGAAGTGTTGCTTACTATCTGTTTCGGTATGTGGTCGGGCGCCACCGACGCGGCCGCGGCGCGGGCCTGCAGATAACATGCAAATTTAGTCGGCGCCAAATCACCGGTTAATGACTAGGTCTGTTACGCTTAATTAGATCCTCTCTATGCTATTCCAAGTGGGGAGTGAGGCGTCCATCCAGATTAGCGAGATCTACATATTATCTAAGCGATGTTAACTTAAAATGTTACTACTAGAGGTTTTAAAGCTTCCTGCCCTTTTCTCATTATAAACCGGATTTCTTACGATTATTTAATTACAAACGTGTAATGATGAGTGATCCTAAAAACGAACACTGAATAACGCAAAGAGTAGGTAAAATGTACGTGTATCTAGATGTATATCAGTAATCTAAATAAATTTCGCAGTATATTTATTCTACTACGATGCAAATGTGGAATTTTTGGTAGAAAGGTAAACTAAGAAAAGTTAAGCTGTTAAGAGACTTGAAACACACTAATTTTAAGAATAATTAGGGAATTTAGATTCTTGTTACCCTAGCGCACAGCACGGACCACACTAAGGTTGGTGGGGTGGTTATACTCGATTGCTGATTGCCAGCTTTGGGGTAACAACCTGCTTGACGTGCTTGTCGCATGTTCAGAAATCGACTATTGCGAACAATAGCACATTTCTTTAACATGCTTTTTGGTTGTTGCTATTACCCCATCACTGATCCTAAACGAGCAGGGAACCTTCGGTTGCCAAAACAAAAAATTGCCAGTTTCTTTTCAAGAGGATTTACGGCAGAAAGGCAGCCATGACATCTGGTTTCAATCATACGGCAAGTGCCAATACATCACAGCACGACGTCATCACAACATTTTTTGGGCGAACTTCAATCGCGGATGGTAAAAACAAAGCAATAAACATGGGCAACGTGCTCATTATCATCGTCTGCTCCACCTGACAGCATCACGGCATGACGCAATAGTCGGCGGAGCGTGCAGGACCGAGGCCAATCGATCTATTACGCGGCCGCCGTGCTCTACCGAGATCAAGCAAAAAAACTACAGCTTAAGACTGTACAGATGAGACGCTTCTGATCTCTTCGGATGTAAGAAAACATAAATGTAAATAATTTACAATTTAAAATAATGTCTCCAGGTTCCATCAGCTACGGCAACTGTTGCAATGTGTCGTGCGTCGTCTCAACCGCGCTTACTATTGTGTGTCAATAATAATTTCATATCTGTGGTGATTCCAATGCAAAATATTATGTTATCGGATATTTGCGATAGTAAATGGTGAACGACTCATGTCATGTCACGCCATCATACCAAATAAGTACCAAATTTTTTTGTTGCTTTTAACTAGATGCAATTATTTTTAATCAGCACGGAAAAATATTAATGCTCTAATATCTCAAAAGTACCCGCTTATTCTAGTTATTAGTTACATAAACTAGGAACATCGTAATTTTAACTCCTTGCATCAATCACCAATCAACGACCAGTGTTAGAAACCAGAATCGATAATAATTTGCATGCCCGTTCAGCTTGTATATCAGGTTGCGTGCGTGTGTGTTTGTGTATACGCAGTCGATTACATGCGTCGCCATATTCATGGTCGACATCGGAAGGGGTGACCACCCTATGCGTACGGTGCCTCAGGCACGGATGACTGGACAAAGGCAAGCAGTCGATACCACCGTGCCAGTTACTATAAACCCTGACTGTCACTAAGTGTATTTGTGACACGTCATATAGAACAGGCGCATGGCAGGGTAGGAAGTTACCCAAGCGTATACAATAAAACATTTTTTATACACCTGGAGTTTGAGTTGTAGGTATTTATTCGTTCATAAAATCCCCGACTTTCACTAACAATCTATTCATCTTGTAATAATTCTTGGATCAAATGTAAATTAATATAAGTACCCTTTGTTGTAAGTTTTATTTTTTCTATCGAAAGATAGACTTTAACAGAAACCAAACTTAATTTGGTATATTTTAGAGATTTTGGGGGTTCAAATAATCCATAAGCGTTTAAATATTGTACTACAATATTTAGAAACTAGAAAATAT